AAGTGAATCAGTTTAGGTCTAAGTTGTTTTGACTCATGTTGGGGAAATGCCAATTACACACATGGAAGATGGGCAAGCACAGGTCAAATCCATCAGGTGCCCACTTTAGGAAAAAAAAAAAAAAAATGAAAGAAGAGGAGTAAAGAGCAAAAGATAAAAGTATGTAGCTGTGTCATCTCTTGGAGTATAAAAGGTGTTATGTAGACTACAGCCTGTTGCAGGATAGGCTTGCTATTAATGAATAACACAAGACACTAACCGTTTACGTTTAGCTGCTTAGGACAACATATTTGGACAGTTGTCCAATTTATTTTGCATTTCTTGAAGTGCAACTGTCTAATTCAAAAAAAGGTTTAGACTTTCCTTGACAGTTGTGCAATGAAATTTGTGTCTTGATCAAAGTGCAATTGTAGCACATATTTTCTTAAATATTCTTCTTTTGGTGCAATTTAGGAAGGCCTTATTTTAATGGTATTTATTTTCTACTGTATTTATGTTTTCCATTTGTATTGTATATCTTTAAATGCATCATATTTATGTGTCTAACTCTGTGCGTTTATAGTATTGTTCTAGTTTCTTCAATTTCAAGTTTTTTGAATAATCTGAATGATATGTACTGGCGAAGCATGTCCGCGCCCATGGGAGTTGAGTGGGGGAGTTGGGTGATGCAAGCTCAGGGGAGCGGGGCATAAGGTTAACAGATGGATTGGTGCAACATCTGCAACAATTGTAGACTCCGTGATGGTTCGCTGTGGTAAAGAGGGAGCTGAGCTGTAAGGTTTTTTACTGGTCGGTCTACGTTCCTACCCTCACCTTTGGCCATGAACTCTAAATAGTGGCCGAAAGAATGAGATCTCAGATACAGGTGGTTCAAATGATTTTTCTCCACAGGGTAGCTGGACTCTCAGAAATAGGGTGATACGTTCATTTATCTAGGAGAGACTCTGAGTAGAACTGTAGCTCCTCCACATCAAGAGGTGTCAGTTGAGGTGGTTCGAGCATCTGGTAAGGATGTTCCCTGGGTACCTCCCTAGGGAGGTGCTTCGGGCATATCCAACTGTGAGGAGACCCCGGGGAAGACCCAGGACATGCTGAAGAGACTACGGCTTGCGGTTGGACTGGCAACGCCTTGTAGTCCTCCCAGAAGATCTGGTGGTGTTGGCTGTGGAAAGAGATGGCTGGGCGTCCCTGGTCAAGCTGCAGCCCCCATGATCTGACTTCGGAACAAACAGAAGATGATGGATGGAGATAATTTATATATTTTTTTTAACAAAACATCTGAAATAATGTTACAAATTAATTTACAATGTCACTACCCAATGTAATGTGACCCTGATAGTTGGAACCAGCAAAGACGGTCTTGATTTGGAACTCGTAGTTGTACTCTACTTTGTCTGTCATGTTTTTGGCACCACTTTTTAAATAGGAGTCATAATTTGTGCACTTACAGTTTCTTACTAGTCTGAAAGCAATTAACAAACTTCGTAGACCTTTGCAAACAGGTAGATGACAAAAACTAAAATACATAATGTCTGCAAATCTTCTAGACTGGTAAATTTACTGTGTCCACATTCTTTTATTTCTAGTCCTACTGTATGTTAACATAATTTGCTCAACATATTGGATCATAATTATATACCAATGCATCAAAAGTGTCTGACATCTTCCAACATGTTTCAGTCAGGTCATCTGGACAGTTTCTTTTTTTGTTCTGAAACGTTTTGCCTTCGATCTGGAAGGCTTCATCAGTCAAGGAAACACACAACGAAACATATTATTCCCCCAACAGCTTACTCCAAAGTGGAACAAACCAGTTTTGTTTGTGATAAGATGGTCTCTTTGGTTCAGCCCCTACTCCATTGCCGGCCCTCTGTGACTGATGAAGCCTTCCGGATCGAAGGTGAAACGTTTCAGCACAAAAAAAGAAACTGTCCAGATGACTTGACTGAAAAATGTTGGATTGTATACCTGGATTATTGAGCATGGTCTTTGTTGTCTGACATCTTGTTTCTTTAAGGCTCTTTAATGGGCATTGAGATTGTTAGCCATTTTTTAGTCACTTTGATAAGTAAACAAGCCCTGTGCCCTTAAGTATTGCTTTATGAATATACAGTGAAAAATATAAAAAAGATCTTGGATTCAGTTATTCATCAACCAATTCTTCACTTTCTTGTATTATATTTGTTTTTACTATTCTTTTCTAACTTCAATTTATTATTTTCTTGTATTATATTTGTTTTTACTATTCTTTTCTAACTTCAATTTATTATTTTTTTCTGAGTGTTTCATCTTGACTTATTTCTGCCACCACCTCTTCATTGCATTTTGCTTTTGAATATGCTAACGATTCATTGTACTGCTGTGTTGATAGTAGAGAGGATGATTCATCTTTGAACTTCCTTTGATCTCATTCACACCTTAGAATAGGATAGCTTAGCCTTGGGTCTTTTCCATCCCTTGATTCTGATTAATACAAATCTCATTCCTGGTTTTACATTCTGCATAATTTAAATTGAAATTTCAATCACAGACATTCATCTAGTTACAGCGTAACACTTGAACAATGTGCGCACACTCACAACACATTACATCCAAAGACTAGCATTACATTTACCCTCCATTTTTTTTTTTTTTTTAAATCTTGTCTATGTTGTCTCGCTTCATCTTTCCTTTTCACACTGTGTCAGTTCCCTGGTGGCACCCACAGATCTGCCAGCCCCCGCTGATTTCCCTTGGTGTTTGAGAAAGATATAGGAGTTAGCTGTAGGCAACAGCACTGTGTCCCAACACCCTGTGTGATGAAATCAATCCACAACATGTGTATCTGTGCCTGCCTTCTTTTTAGGTGCCATTCTCTGCATCTTCTCATGTGTGAATTGGTTGTGTTTTACCGCACAGTGCTTTCCTTTACTTTACCTGAACTGTTCATTGTACGGTAACTTGACAGACATGAGTCATGCAGTGTTCACAGACTCGTTCTCTGCTAGCTCCTTCTTTATTATATTACCTTTTTCCTTCATCCAGTCTGAGCTGGTGGCAACACAGCAGATGGGTCCAAGTGATAGCAAGGTAATGGCAGTCCAAAGCATGTGCATCCATCCTGCCCATTACAGTTAAGATTGATTCAGGCTTGGCTCCTTTCAGAGGATGAGGCTGATAAGAGAGTGCAATGTGTCATCACTGTGGCTCCCATGTGGTGGTGTAGAGTGATTAAACACACAAAAAAACTATTTTTAACATTTAATATCCAATTATAAGAATATGTTTATCATCAGTTGACATTTGCTAATGGTTGTGTTGTACCCTGGACTGCTGTGTGTTGGTAACATGATGCTTATTTGTCAGGCACATTACATTATCTGAGGAGGACAGTAAGCACTGAGAGCTAACTTGTCTCCGACATCGAAATAAAGCTTGGGAAAATGTGTTGCATTCGAAAGATCTCCGTTTTCCAGCAGAACGAGTGCATAATTCATTGAGATCGTTCAAGATAACCAATTTAGTCATCGTTTTTAGCTCTAATTGGCTGCTGCCTTGTGTGGCTGTGCGTGAAGCAGTGCACACATACACTTGCAACAGCATGCAAATGTGTGAGTGCTCACTCAGTGGTCTCCTAACATTGTTGCTTTCAAGGTGTGAAGTGGAACTGAGTACAGGTAATGAAGGAGACAGCACTGTGTAATTATTCTGCAGAGGAAGGATTACCAGTTTACTTTACCATTTATGATTCACCTTGAAGTGCAAATTCCAAGGGGACAAAAATCACACCTTTCTGCCCTCATTACCTTCAACTGGACTGAAGACAGTTACTACTAAGCTGTTGTTATTAAATGAATACTTTGTATGTTTTTGATTAGCATTTTTGTGTCTGAGTTGAAGAGTTTGTTACAAGAGTAATGCACTGTATTAAGCTATTATCAAATATAAAAAGAGATGTTTATCGGTCATCTCCTATTGCTCTACAGGAGACTTTTTTGGGTCAAAGGACATTTTGAATATATATTTTTCCTGTTTGTACATGAAACTTCAGCTTCCTCAAGGGCCCAGAGTGAGGCAAATGAGGGTGTAGATGTGGTGCTTCATCTTCTCCAGCCACATTTTGATGATACAGATTTAATGTGAACCGGCAACCTTTCAATCACAGGTTCACTTCTCCAAACTCTTCGCTACCAGTCCCACATTACCTAAATACAAGCCCTTAGTTGTTTACACGCATAGTATAATCTGTCATATACACAGTCTAAGAATGCAATAAAGCATTTTTTCTTCAACAGGGACATTTTTACAAGAACATGGATCACTGAATGACATTTTTTAATAAGCACATGGAAATGAAATAATAAAATATATATATTTATATAAAAACGGCCCAACGTGGCCTGTATTTGTGTTAGTGAGTTCATGCTGTATACATTCCTGGATGTGAGGACTGAATGTGTGTCAGAGTGAATTGGTGCAAGAGTATCTCATCACTGGCAGGAGACAGATTGAGGGTTCAGGGTGTAAGAATTGCCTCCTTTTTCAGTCCATACAAAGTGGGTAGGTTTTCCATTTTTCTTCCCATTACCAAATGGATTGCACCCTGCTGTTAAAGCTGACATAACAGAAAGGACACATCAATAGTAAGGGTGAACTTTTTCCGAGATGTGTTGGAGAATAGCAGTTTAAAATGTGGTTTAATACATCATCTGCAGCAGTACAATAATATAAATGTGTTTATTTTGTAACGTTATCAAGTGAACAAGTTCTTCACAAGTTTTTTCACATGGTAAATACTTTTATAGCTTGAGCTGATTCTTTTTATCCTGTAGGTTTCTTGGTTTAGCAAGTGTGACTTGATTATCAGAAGTAATTCCCTTTCCCTTTTTCATTAACGTAGAGATAAATGCAGACTGCTTTGCCCTTAGCTCAGTAATAACATAGTAGCAGACCTACTGAATTACTCATAATCTTGTTAAATTAGGCCCTAATTCTAACGTGCCCTTTACTGTCTTCTTCAGGAACTACAGTGATGACAATGACGGCATTCGACGCAGACGACCAAGGCACAGATAATGCTGCACTGCGTTACAACATCATCAGACAATCTCCAGACAAACCTTCACCCAACATGTTCTACATCGATGCAGAAAGAGGCGACATCGTGACAGTCATCTCCCCGAAGTTACTCGATAGAGAGGTGGGTTTACTGGTGTGTCTGTGGAGTACTGTATGCGTCACTTTGAACTAACTGACGACCCTTTGCCGTTGTGGAACACAGCGTGCGTTTTGGCTGCATATGGAGTTTTCATGAAGCTTACTTTCTTTTGGTCCCTGGAAATTTAAAAAGGAAACTTCATCTACTTACTCCCAGCTTATCACCAGTGCATCAGTGTGCAGGGAGCAGAGAGAAGTGTATGCATACAGTATGGGCGTGGAGCATTTAGTGCCACTTATAAGTGGTCATGTGTATCTTTGAGCAGTAATATATTCCAGCAAGTAGGTGCAGAATCCAGATGAGCGTCTTTCCATTTCTCCATCTAACCAGAGCGAGACAACGGGGATGATTGCTTTCCTAGCAGGGTGACGAATGCCAGAACATCGATTGGTTTCGCTGGTGGAAGAGGAATATTAGCTGTTGTCAGACACTTAGCGAACAGTTTAATTGAGGTGATACACACTCATTCGTCGGCTCTGGTGCTGTCCAACAAGCTTGGTTGAAAACCTGCCATCCGGAACTGCTGGAACCATGGCGGCTAAGTGCTCTGATGAGCCAATTTCAGTGCTACAGTAAACTGTTAAATAGAGGTGTAATTGATTAACAGTACAATGAAATGAGATGAGGTAATACAAGTGAGCCAAGTTAGCTGCTTTTGTGTGATGATGTGAGACCAACTTGTTCAAAAAGTGAAGGTGTACACTGTTGTTTTTTCCTTTCTGTTCTAAAAGGGTAAACTACTAGACATTGATTTATATCATAGGAGTACAGTGGTATTGAGCAAAAAGCTTAAAAGCCCTGCCTGCTTTTAGCCTCTTTAAGGCGGAGGAGTATTAGCAACAACATTGGGTTTGTCCACATTAAAATGAGGTTTTAGTTGTTTAAGGCTCAGTTGTTTATATTTTTTTTAAATTTTAGATGAATAGCATTTTTTTTTATAAACACTTTCTGAAGTAGAACATTATAAAATGTGTTTTTGTGTTTGGGTGTACACATCAAACAAATAATGTGGTGAAACAATGACACACACAAACGTTGCACATGCCTGCTCATGTTGTCTGTTGTTCTTGGGCTAAAAGCATTGTAATAAATGGGAGTGTGTTTTAGCTTTTGTTTCCCCATGACATTAAATATGAGGAGAAAAAGTAAATTAAACAAACATTTTTGCTTTTATAATGTTCAATTGCTGAGGCTATATTTTCCTTTGGTGTAAACATTTGAAGAATGATTGATTGTGTTATGAGTTTTCTATCTATTGTATGTGTTTAAAGATGATTTTGATTTCAATTTAAATACTTAAAAAAAAATAGAAACAGAATTTTTTGTTTCTCTCTCTCCAACCCTAGAAAATCCTGAATAATGTGTTCATGTAACATCAGACTTCTATTGGGTCAACATATTTTACAATTTGGTTACACAAGGAGCCTAAAGCATAGCTTATAATTTGATTCATTTTGGGGATCTACAAAGTATGTTATACTCCAATATTCACAGAATTGGTAACCAAGCTTCTATTTCACAAACATCCCTAGGATTTTAGCAGAAGACCAGTCAGACTGCATCAGTTCTGTAATTAAAAAAAAAAAAAACATATACAAACCAGATGGAAGTAAAAATAAAAAAGTGGCTATTTCAGACTCTCTTCCAGGTTTTCGAGGGATTCAAACTCAGCCACTTCAACACATTCTCAAACATTTGACTCCAAGCTGGCACTCATCATTCCATCTCCCACCTATAATAGAGTTTCTGAAGACAGCATGTCCTGCCTATTTCTGCAATGTTCCGTGTTGTAACAAAGAAACAAACAAAAGTAAAATACATTTAAAAAAAAATAGCAAGGAAAAAGGCATCCATCCATCCATTTTCTTTACCCACTTATTCCATTTTGGGTCACGGGGGTCGCTGGTGCCCATGTCCAGCAATCACTGTGCGAGGGGCGGGGTACACCCTGGACGGGTCGCAAGTCCATCACAGGGCCACATAGAGACACACGAGACAAACAACCATTCACTCTCTCACTCACACCTAGGGACAATTTAGAGTTACCAATCAGCCTAACATGCATGTTTTTGGACTGTGGGAGGAAACCGGAGTACCCGGAGAAAACCCATGCATGCACAGAGAGAACATGCAAACTCCACCCAGAAAGGCCCCTGGACCGGGGTTTGAACCAAGGACCTGCTCGCTGAGAGGCAGCAGCTCTACCAGTTGCGCCACCGTGCTAGGAAAAAGGCAAAGAGGAAAAAAAAATGATAGACACAAATTTCTTTGCTCTTCAAATCCCTACAACATAAATCAGGTGGAGTGCTCCAAGTGTATTTGGATAGACACCTCAGCTGCCCCAGGAAGCAGAAAGCAATCCGAAAAAGATTGGAAATTTCAATCATCATTGAAATCAGTATGATATTCCCTTTAGTAATTTCTCAGCAGCATAGAATCCTGTCTTAACATGTGCATTAATTCCATCACTCTGTTTTTTCTCTCACCTTACGTCGGAAGTGTTGCTTCTCACTGATGTTCTGACGCACAACACTGCAATGGCAGGCTGTAATTGTTGGCAACTAATCTGGCTGCACTGATGATGCTATTTGTTTTAAAGGTTCAAACGAGTTGAAGAAGGAGCATATCTTTCTTAGAATAATATTAAAAATCTACTTTTGATTGTTTAACAAAAACGTCAGATTTCACTTAATTCTTAAAGTCTGGTCCAGACAACAAATCAGTCTGGACTGAGCCCACATGTTACATCACATTGCATCTTGTAAATGAGTCCCAGAGGCTCAGTGAGACTAACCTGTATAAATAAAAGTATAATGAATGAATGAATGGAAATCCAAATTGCTCTTGCCGAGATTGGATGCTTCTCCCCTCCCTCTCTGCTTTGCTTTGCTGCTCTGTCTGTCTGTGAAACTGCTGTGAGACTATCTGTCTGAGACATTTCGGAACCATTTGGACCAACACAGACTCAAGGTAGATGTCATTAAGTTCTGCCTGTCCTCAAAACAACTGTGTTTATCTGAATTTGGCTCCCTTGGCTGACCTTGAAGGTCATCTTATCTGAATTTGCCTGGAGAACCAGTGATCTGACGCTCACCACCCCCTCCCTGAGGAATTTCCAACTGATAACCAGATGAAATCCAGCTGAATAAACTTTGTGTCATCATTTCAGGACTCTTGGATTCTCATAGTCATTATTTTTGGCCATTCCTCGACATATCTCGAGAATGTTTATTGATCTCACTGGAGGACACTGTCTGATTACATCCTTATCAGAACTCTTACAATGTCCTCAAGAGCGTCTATGAACATTGCTCACCGCTCTCGTCGTCCCCCTCTGCAGAATGTCTGTCGCTATGTGTTTGTTTGTGCAAGGTGTTTTTTTTAATATCAGAGTTTTTTCTTCTCAGGCAGGAAAAAAAAAAAGTCTTATAAGAATTGTTTCGCTTCCAATTCCTACATGTGTCCAGTTTCACTACTTTTTGTCTGTCAAAACAGATATCACTTGTAAATGAGTCTTCTAGGCTCAATGTGACTTATATGTATGTAATATACAATTTTTTTCATTCAACCTTTATTTAGACAGATAAGTATATTTACTAGTGACAGAATAGTTACAGGACTGAAGACTGACATGAGTGAATAGCACAGGACTGAGACAGAGGAAATTAGCTGTAAAACATTGAATTTTTAGTAGTAAATTGAAAGTGTAGTCTGCAGTAACAGCAATAATTTGCTCACAGTCTGTGACCTGATGAGTCTGTTTTCCTACTGTTGTGTAAAGAAACGGGGGTTAACCTCAAAACAGATTTTAGCTTCAGCTTCTATCTGTGTCATTATCAGAAACGAAGGCAGCAGAGAGTAAGGTTTTACATCACATCACCCTGGTATTATCTAAATGTGCAAAACAAACACAAAAAAAGTAGATTTAGGAAACTGTTTTCAAAAAAAGTGGGTGAAAGGCATTTGTTTTGTCCTCACTAAAACTCTGTATTAGTGCATTTTTTAACAATACATGTCGTAAAAAGCTCATTTTGCATCTGTGACTCGCAACAGTTAAGTCTGTTATTCCATCTGAGAACATATTTTGTAACGAGGTATGGGAGGCTCTTTTTCTAAGTAAACTGTGACATTCTTCATGCTAGGTTACTTTGTATTTCTAATGTATTTGAGGATCTTTAACTTTTACTTTAATCACTGTAATGTTAGTGTCTCGATGCCTTTAAGTTCAGTTTGTTTTAATGCTTATTCATGTGAAGACAAATTATCTTTTTGAGGTACAAGGAGTTACTAAGTTATTCATATTTAATATATACATTTTTTTTAATTTATCTGCAAATTAGGTTTTAATATCAAAAGTTAGAACAACTTAGGTTCACAAACTATTTTAGGCAAATTGATGATATGGTGAAATTGATTTGGTTTGTAAGTTGTAAGCAAATTTAATAATAAAAAAAAAAGATGTTCTTATTCTAATTGCTCTTGAACTTTGACCTCATCTAGACATCAGATGTGGATGTTAAAAAAATTATTTTGATAATCCCTATAGAACAGAACTCAAATGTATGTCTCAAGCACTCCTCAGCACACAGTTGATCATAATTAATATCATTATTATTTGTATTTTTTATTACAAGAAACAAGTTAAATTGCACCAAAATTCCCCCCAAAATGTATTAAATAAAACATAACAGGTTTACATTTTTTTTTAATGTTTATATTTAGGAAAAGATACTGAATCAAGATTCGAGGGACATGCATTTCTGTAAACTAAACTAAATTGAGCAACTATTTACAGATGACAGTAAAAAAAAAAAGACATTTAAGTATTAGATACACAAGGTTTATACTAAGCACATCATCCTGCTGAACTAAAATAATTTTAAAAAAAGGAATATCCCAGGCAGCTGATTTATTAGTCCAAGCAAAGTTACTTTAGCCCACTGTGCTTTTATGATCCACCTCCCACTGGCACATCCTGACGG